TTTTTTTTTTCAGAGGTCATCCTGCACCATCGTTTTTGGGTTTTGAAACGCAAGATTTAAGTAATATCTCTTATGGTCAAATGCATATTCCGTCAATTGCGCTTCGTGAAATTCCGTTGCAACGGGAGCAACTTCGATTAAAATTATTCTATGGGAACAAAAAAATCACAACTTTCAATGCCGATCTCATTTCTAAACAGGTAAAACTATAAGCTGTCATTGAAAACAACAACGGAATCTGAAACATAAACTTTGTTTAATTCTTGAATTTTGAGATTCTTCATTGAGAGCTAAAATGGTCACAGTTTACTCTCCTTTTCCGGCAGAAGGGTTTAAAAAGTCCAGAAGCTGCTCTCCCTTCCTCCTTCAAAAATCGAGTAAAAAATAATCACAGTTGCATTAGTAACTGCCTGTGGCTCGTTTTTTGAGAAATACGGAAACAGCCGGCCTCCTTATGCGGTGACGATTTTGCATGCATACAGGAAAGACTTTATCTGATTGTGGCGTGTTTAAATTATGTTTCAATATATATTACAGCTAGATTTTTTCTTTTTGGATGCCGTGACTGCTTGGTGTTTGGGCAAATTCACTGCTTATTTCTTCCTCTTTTTCCTACTCAACATATTTAGGTTACAAAATCGGGTTTTTCGTTGGTCTGGCAACCAACTGAAAATTCATCAACAGCATCAATTGTGAAATTTCCATTTGAGCGGCGTAATGGAAAGGATTTGTTGGTTGAATTAGAGCTTTTCGATAAAGTATTCTTACAGAAGAAGGATTTGATCCGACTGACCGGACATGCTTCACTTGAACAGGTATGTAGCAGTAGCAGTTGATTGCACTCAGCTAGGATTATTTTTGGCCCGGCATTTAAATATAAATGAAAGCACCCTTTTTTTCGGTGGTTGCATTTAAGTAAGCTGATAGCGGTTTGTCTCCCTGGCATGTGTTTGCATTAGGACAGCTTGCTTTGCATTCGACTCACCAGAATGAATGAAGAGATTGTAGAGGGGTTAGCTGTTTTGTAAGAGAAGTTGAATCTTTGACATTCAGCATCAAGGCAGCTCCAGTAAAGGAGCCCACAAGCAGCGCTACTTGTATTCACATTGACTACTTTTTTTTAAGAAGCTCGTAAACTTTATATTTCTTTTCGAAAAAGTGTCAATTATCTAGCTGTTCAATTCGCGAAAATTTAGCTGCTGCCAGCACTGGATACAAAAATATCGCAAAATATTGCTCAGATCACTGTCCGAAGTCGCGAATCTGATGGTAGTCATACAGCAAAAGTCAACATTACAACAACGTAAGTTTTTCGATCATTTAAAAAGTTCTGCATTGAGGTTTAAATTAAACCTGCCCCTCTTTTTTTAAAACAAATTTTAGAATACTTCCTGTGGGTAAACCGATTTTTTGGCCTAGTCAGTTTATGAGTGCGTTGATACTGCAAATTGAGCAGTTTTCAGTAATCAGTAATTTTTGAAATAATCTTAGACGAGGTAATGAAGAGTGGGCAAATAATAAATAGGGGCGAGTATGATATAGGAAATTTGTCGTTTACCATTAAGTCGCTTAATCCTGAATGGATTCGAGGGCGCATAATTTGCAGAAACTATATTTGTTCGCTCACAGTTGTACATTTTCCCAAACCATTGACCGGTTCGGATAGTCCAGACTATGCCGCTACTCTAAGCTATGTTAATTCGTGATCGGATTTCAAGTGGAACTCACAGTTTCAGTTTGTCACTGAATCGCGAATTGCTTCTTATTGCTGGTGAATTTGTGCAGCAAGAACTGATTCCGGATAGTCGTTTATGGTTTCTGTGCCAGTCGGCATCGTTGAATCGTGCAGCACTGCAGTCACAAGCGACCGTTCATATGGCTACGCACACGTTCGTTATTTTTGTCAAAATCTATTGTGCTTTTTTATGTGAATGCAACCCAGACTGGAATGCACCGGGCTGGCTGACGAGGGCATGCCTTTTTGCGTTAAACTTGAAGTAATCAGATTGTTAACCGTACGAATAGTTGGTGCCTTACACTTAATCTGTGCTCTCATTGATGTAAATCATCATAAATATTGCACAACAGAAAATAGTTTCCGCTGAGTGCGTGGCTGAGTATGAAATCTATGAGTCGTGTATACACAGAGAGCATCCCCTTAAAATTTTAGGTTTTCAGTTTCTCTGATTCGCAAATTGGCGATTTTCCCGCCAAAACTTTTACGTGGCCGCACGTGAACTCAGAGTTTTGTAAAAGTTCGTGCCATATTCCTGAACCAGGAAGCCCACTGGCAAAATTTCAGCGTTG